AAATTGATTTTTGAATAGTGATATGATGGGAAATGTGTGGTTGAAAAAGAAGAAAAAAGTATTGATGTGATGGAAAATATTATTTTATTGAAGAATGTGTGGTTGAAAATGAGAATTGATTTACTGTAGAAAAGGAGAAGTTTTACCAAACAGGCTCTATATCTACCACCACAAATATGGAATCTCATCATTTCTTAGTCCTAAGTAAACCCAACAGAAAGTCCATTGATACATCAACCCAATGCTCACTCGGAATGGGTAATGGTGTATATAAATCTTGAGGTAAAACCTTAGACTTAGCATTTTTACAAGTGATACATCTATTACAAATTCGATCAACATCAACTTTCATTTTAGACCAATATAAATGTTTATTCAACATCTCCAAGGTTTTTTTTTTTTATTCTAAAGTGACCCATTAAACCTACTAACAATTCTCTTATTGAACACTTAGGTACACATAAATTATTCTCCAGAAATAAATATCCATCATGCATAAAGAATCTATCCATAGCACTTTGTCACAAGATTCATGTATATTACAAAAATTCAAGTCATTAGTATACATGTCCTTAATATATTCAAATTCTAGCAATTTGGCACCTAAAGAAATTAGAAATACATACATATTTGACAATGCATCAACAACCACATTTTTCTTACATTGTTTATACCGAATAACTTACGAAAATGTTTCAATGAACTCCATTCACCTTGCATGCCTCTTGCTTAGTTTACCTTGATAATTTAAATGATCCAATGACTCATGATTGGCGTGAATCACGAACTCCTTTGACCATAGGTAGTGCTGACATATCTCTAAAACTCGAACAAGTGCATACAACTCCTTATCATATGTAGGATAGTTGAGAGCTGTTATACTTAGCTTTTCACTAAAGTAAGCTATTGGTCTTCGTTCTTGTATCAAAATAGCTCCAACAGATATTCCTGGGGTATTACATTCAATCTCAAAAGTATTTTTAAAGTTGGGTAGTGATAAAATCGGTGTAGTACACAACATATCCTTAATAGTATTAAAAGCATGCTCTTATTCAACGCCCCAATGAAATCCTACACTTTCTTTACAATCTCCATGAATGGCATGGCAAGTGTGTTAAAATTTTTAACAAAACACCTATAAAAGCTAGCTAAATCATGGAAACTTTTTACCTTTGTTGTGCTTTTAGGTGTTGGCCACTCCTTGATTACTTGGATTTTCTCATCATCCACTTCAATACTCTTTGAATTAACAACATAACCAAGAAAAATATTTTTTTCAGTCAAAATGTACACTTCTTAAAGTTAGCACAAAATTGTTCTTATTTTAAGACTACAAGCACACATCTTAAATGTCTTATATGCTAATTTAAATAAATACTATATACAAGATATCATTGAAGTAAACTATTATGAATTTATCTATTTATGCTCGCAAGACATGAGTCATTAACCTCATAAACGTGTTAGGTGCATTATTAAGTGTAAATGGCACGATCAATCACTCATATAAACCATACTTAGTCTTAAAAATAGTTTTCCATTCGTCCCCCTCTCTCATCCTAATTTGATGATATATACTTTTAAGATCTATTTTACTAAACATGTACGATCCATATAATTCATCTAACTTATCATCTAATCTAGGTATAGGATGACTATATTTTATCGTTATGTTGTTAATCGCCTGACAGACTACGCACATCCTCCAAGTCGCATCTTTCTTTGACACAAGTACCACTATTACATGAATTCATGATTTTCATCACATACCCTTTACTCATTAAATTTTCCACTTGTCTTTGAAGTTCATTGGTGTCCCAGTATTACTTCGATAAATTGGCATGTTTGGAATGACAGCTTTAGGTACGAAATCAATATGATACTCAATGCCTCAAATGGGTGATAATCCACTAGGCATGTCATTTGGAAACAAGTTTTCGAATTCTTACAACAAAGAAGTAACCAAATTAGGGATATATGCTTTAGATTCTTCAAAGTTGAGGAGTGATTCCTTATAAACCAACAATATCATAGGTCGGTTCTCAACTACTGTCATCTTCAACTCACTCCCGTTTGCAAAGAAATTCACTTTCGACTTTTCTTTCCTCTTAGAAGACTCTTTTTCTTTACTCTCATGTGGCTCTACTCCTTTTTTTCTCACAATTGGCTACCTCACTTTTTTTTTCTCTTGCTTTCTTGTCGTGAAAGATCAATCTCACTCTCTTTTTCTCTCATTATTTTATCTTCCTCACTTTTCAATTTGATTTGATCTTCATAAACTTGTGCTGGTGTCAACGGTGCAAGAGTAATAAATTTATCATCTTTAGTAAAGTTGTACTTATTTTTGTACCCATCATGCATCACCTTCCTATTATATTGTCATGGTCTTCCCAACAAAATATGTCTGATATGCATAGGAACTACATCACATATCACTTCATCATGATACATCCTAATTGAGAAACTCACCGATACTTACCTATTCACCTTAACCCCTTTACATTCATTCAACCATTGTAATTTGTA